ATTTGGAAATGGAAATAAAAAATATATGTAATATTTTATTCTTATTTCAGTTACCTTTTCTATTTTTCTTTCAAAATTTCTTCCCAAATTCTTCAACCAAACACAACGTTAGTGTATAAGTTAGGAAAGATGTGAAAAGCAATCAAAGATTCACAACTGATTGGGCTTGCATAAGGCTCCATGATCCATTGGATTAGTGGACCTATTATTGGGTCTTGGGTTTGACAATGAGCAGAGTTATTTTGTAAACTTGGGCTGCTCGGCCCACCCAGACTTAAGTGATCTTGCAAATTATCATTGAAAGGAGGCTTATGGGTGCAAGTAGAGTTGATGAGCCACTATCATTGGGCCCAAACATAACTTACAAATTATTTGACAACTTTGTACTTCATTGGTTGGGCTTTTTTATGGCCCCTCTTGTTTCAGTTTTTGGTTTATGCTGAAAAATTATGGGGGAATTACATTTTACTGGGATAAATTTTTGTTTTATTTTTATTTTTTTACACAAATATGGAGGGGTGCAAGTCACACTTGTACCCCCACAATCTTTTACTTGCACTTTATCACAAAATCAATTACACCCCGCATATTTTTGTAATTGTTTTTGTCTGTCCCACTATATTAAAATTTTTCCAAAAATTATTAGATTAGGTGTGAAATACCATGTGATGCAATATTGATTACGTGGTGTTATTAACTTAAAAAATCTGCTCATTATACTTAGATGGGTCACTCTTGGGAACCTGGGAGGGTGCTATGCCTCTAAGGGAAAATATCGTATTGTGAGTTTGGAGGGGGGAGTTTTTCTAATTTATTTCAATAATCTAAATTGTTCTTATTGTAAAATTCATTAAGTAGATTATTCATGAAAAAAATAAGTCAATTAGACATTTGTAACTTATAACAAGACCACATTTGTGTTTAAAAAAAAATAAACAATTTACATAATTTTGATAATTTTTGTACAAATAATTATGATCCGATCATAGGGTTACACATGTCCGATTAATCTTATTTTTTTATATGAATGATATATACTAGATGAATCTTATAATATAAATGGTTCAAATTATCAAAATAAAATCGAGACTAACATCAACAAGCCGTCACAACAGGATGCTGTGACAGCACCCTTCCCTCCTCTGTCACTCTTGACACTCAATTATCTAATAAATGTAAATCATTATTGATCTACTTATAAAATCTTTTATTATTTTATTAATTAGAAGGATCACATGAAGAATGTCGCATAGTACTATTTGATAACTAACTTTTTTTAATAAGCTGTTGAGATGGTTCATGTGGACGCATTATAAGGTCTATTAAGCAGATCGTCTATAAAAATCAGATTAATCAAAAATTTGTAACCACTATGACAAATCATATTTGTGCTTTGAAAAAAATAAAACAAAAATATGATTTTGATAATAGACTATTTATTTTATTTTAGATAATCTAAATTTGATTATGTGATTATTGATGTATGATCAAATTGTTTTTTTACAGAGGTAATATTCCCAATGAGGTGATTCAAATTTATTGCATCTATCCAAAAGTTTTAATGTTTGAATTGAGGGTTCATATTATAAGACTTATATGATCTTATTACACTACAAGAAATGTCACTTTTGGGTACCAAAATATTGGTCGCCAAAAGTCCAATATTTAGTCGCCGAAACCATTTAGCAACTAAAATATTTTGTCGCCAAACTCGTCGCCTATACCCTGTCGGCGATAGTATTGGCGACTAAACTATTTTTGGTCGCTGAAAGTGAATGTTTTGGCTACTAAATTTTCGTTAGTCGGCAAAGGTTATGTTTTGGCGACTAAAATATTAGTAGCCAAAAGTAAGCATTTGGCTACGAAACTTTGAGTAGTCGGGAAAGGGGATATTTTGGCGACTAAATATTTAGTCGCCAAAAGTGTTCAAATAAAATTAATTAAATTTTCAGCAACTAAAACTTTTGTCGTAGATAAGTTTTAGTAACAACATTACTACATTTAGGGACTAAAGAATTTAGTTGCCAAAAAAATTATTTTTCATGTTATTAAACTTTTGGCTACTAACCATTTGGTAGCCGAAAGTCGTCATTATATTTTTAGCTACTAAATTTTTAGTCACCAAAATCTTTGGGTTCTTTATGGCTACCAAATAATTAGTCATTAAAAATATTGATTTCCTTTTTGGCTACCAATTGGTTAGTCACTAACAAATTCTCTTCTCTTTTTTTTCGCTACTAAACATTTAATGGAAAAAATTTTATTTTGTGTTTTTTTTTTTATTATAATTAATTTCTTCACAACCTGTATTTATTTCGTGCAACCTGCGCCCTGTATTTAAACAAAACAATACATATATCTATTTCTATTTCGTTTCAACAATACAAAAATTTGATCTTTTAACATCAAATTCTATACAAATCTGAATTATCCAACCCAAAATAATAATTCCATACAAACACAAAATCATACAAAAAAGATGTCCTCTGTACAAAAAATTCTACATCAAATGTCATTTACGGAGTATTTTGAAGGTGTAAACATGATAGGAAAATTAAATTTATTTACTAAAACACTTGCTTAATTTAACAATGAAGCCATTGATCTAAACGCTTCTCATCCTTCAAGCTTGTTTCATATAGTTTGGTATCTTTCTTTCTGAAGACACCAATTGCAAAATTGTAATATGTAGTAAGGCAATCAGAAAATCGAGAAATGGAATGGAAAGATGCAAGAACAGTTTCCAATACACCCATTGCCCACGTCTTATAAAACATTGTAATAATCGCACCTTCAAATATAGTAGGAGGCTAAAAATCAAATATAGTAGGAGGCTAAAAATCACTAAGTGATCTATAAGTAAATCCACAACTATCAATCATTAATCTAAGATGCAACAAAATTTGGTATTTTCTTAAGCATATCTTAGCAGTCAAAATCATTAACGCATAACTAAAATATATATATCATTTGACCATATTACTACAAATATTCGATTAACGTAATTTTTTTTAATAGTAGTCAATGAGCCTTGCATAATAAATAATTTAAATTATTAAAATTGTCTGAAATGGACTCAGTCAAGCTCTCACAGCAGCTTGTTGAATTAGATGTGCTCAAGTTTAGACCAAGTAGTAGAAATGGGTCTTCAATATGCAGAATGCCCAAAATTGACTTCTTTTCATATGATTAAACTAACCGACACATTCAAATAAGTACAAGAATCTGAGTGAGTTAGAGCATAAAATTGTCTTCAATCCACCTAGTTCCAACTAAATATGAATAAAATATATGGGGATTCATCAACGAATGAGAATTTAACCACAACATATCTCATCAATAAATGCATACAAACAAACACAATGGTGAGATTATATCCCAATTTTTGATGACCATGTTCCATGGGGCTTGGCTAATTATGCAGTGGTTTGATTTGCTATTAATGTCTATCTCTCTAATGATCTTCATTAATGTCTATCTCTCAATAAAATCACAATACTCTGTAACAGAGTTACAGTGGTGTACATATATTGGTGACCATATATTGAATGAAATAACATCATATATTTCATAAATAAAAATTAAATGTTCAAAAGTATATACAAAGGAATTAATAAAAAGTTTTTAACTGTGATTACATATATTAAAAAATGAAAAAAAAAAAAAGTATGACAACACATTAGATATTAAGGAATCAATCAGTTATGGAAATCAACCTAGTGGTGAGGAGTACGATATTAAGGAAGACCTGGAGAAGATATTAAGGAAGCACATTAGAAATTATAACTTCATCAGCTAAATAAACAAACAAGTATGACAACACGACAATGATATCACTTCTGCATCTCCACTAAAGGCATTGTTTAGATTTACTAAAAGAGAAGTAGAGTCTAGAGAAAAGTATCTTTTTGGATATTACTTTTACTCAGTTTTTCAAGTGGCATTTCCGACATATTGATCTCAAATTCCATCATTGCAGCTCTGCAATAGTTAAAAAGTTGTTGCAAAGACATTCTCTAAAAATTAAAATGCAGAGTAAATTGAATAAATAGTAAATATGTTATAACCTGTATGCATTAAGGAGCATCTTCATCAATTCTCCTAATGGGGGTGCAAGTTGGCTTCCTGCATCGTTAATATTTTTCTTTTCAGGGACCACCTCTTTATTGACCCCCCATAATCCTACAAAAACAAATATTCTAACGTCAGGAAAAGAATACTAGATATGGACCCAATAAGGGAGCTTAAACATTTGGAAAAAGAAAAAACAACCTGAACCTTTATCCTCTTGAATGATTTAAAGGATATCGTAACTTCAAAGAGAAAAACAAACAAAAGTGTAGATTTATTAATACAAAAAAAGAAGCACATGGAAATGAGGGCTCTAAAAAGGAAATATTATATCAATTCATAAGTCCATTCCACAACAAATTACAGTTAAGCAAATTCAAGTGAGGTAGAAACAGAATTTAGAAAGTAACCCCCCACCAAGTGATTCATATGTCGCATTTCTATGCAGTATGTCATCGTAGAGAATCCTCAATTCCATAGGAGTATAAACCAGTGTATTTGCAGGCACCGTCACAATACATCCAAAGCATTTAGGTTTCCACTGGAAAGAGTATGCAGCTCTTAAACATGAAACTCAATCTTTTTTTAATTTAATTAAGATGAGTTTCAAATTTAAGATACTTCAAAATCACTGAGCTGCATTAGCAATTCAATTGTCGTGTCACATTGAAAATAAAAGGATAACTATGGAAATTCCCCCCCTCCCCAACCACCACACAAACAAACAAACAAACAGAGTGAGAAAAGAAAGAGAGAAAGAGAGAGAGAGAGGGAGAGAGAGAGAGAGAGAGAGAGATACTATATAATAATTAAAAGTAAAAAATTTGAAACAACTTGCTCACAGGTAATACCAGGTAAATAGCATAGACTTTGTAATTCAAGTTCATCTTTGAGAATAGAGAATTGTAAGGCGACCACAGCACAAAGGATTTTAAACCACAAAAAGCAACAACAATTTATATAATTAAGGTAAAAATGCTTCAAAAGAAGTATAAAAGAAATTACTTAGTTGAAAGGTCAGATATGTTCAAAGTTGTATTGTAAATGCTTTTTCCATCCTCAAGGATGTGGCCAGAATCTTGCAAGCTAGATGATTCATGTACAGCATTTCGCCCTTTCACTTTAAGTGACCATGCTAGACTCTTCTCTGATGGCTTCAATTGTGTATAGATCAAAAGGAAGTTTTTGGTCTTTTGACACAATCAACCAGATAGTCCTCTCTAATGATAGGTATTTTCATCCTCCTGTTCCAATGAAACCACTACAAGTCAAGAAAATGACTAATAAATAACTACACTTAAACGCCAGTAATTAGGGACAGCTTTACCTTTCCTTCCTCATGTCAGCCTCTTTATTATCCAGCACTCCACTCACAACTATATATAAGTAGTTACTCACACAGCTACCACATATATCTCTACACCTCTACATATGCACATAAATGACACAAATAGAGGCAAAAGAATATGTATATAACTACAAAAATGAACCGAGAAATAATTTGTTCCAAATATATATATAATTATAAGATTGTGATTAAGCTCATAACCTAACCTTGAAGCAAAGCAGAATTCAAACATTCAGATAAGAATCAAAATCGATCAAACCATATAAAATCCATTCCATTTTAAAAATAAAAAATAAATCAAGAGCTAGGGTTTTACCAAATAGAGATGAAAGATTTAGAAAATAGTAGAAATCGGTGAGCTGAAAATGGTGAGAAGGAGAGGCAAATCATACCAGAGAAAGAGTCAATTGGGGGGCGAAAATCATAATGAACTTTGGTTCGTCTTCGTACAGCGGTTTGAGAGAGGGAGAGCCGGTGAGGGAGAAGGAAGACGCCGGTGAGGGAGAAGGGAGACATCAGTGAGGAAGGAGCGACGTCGGCTATGAGAGAGCAGCAATCATGTGAGCAGAGCAAAGAGAGGTGATGTGTCTGTGAGTGTGAACCTAACCCTAAAATAACTCAAAAAGATAAAGACATACATACATATAGAGAGGGGTATGGTAGTAATATACGTAATCACATTTATTTAAAATCAAATTAAAATGTTTTATACAATCACATATTTAGGGAGTGTGATTAAAAGTATATATATATAATCACACTTATTTAAAAAGTGTGATTAAAAATAAATATTATTGTAGTAATGTATATATAATCACACTTAATTAAAAAATGACATAAAAAATAAATATTATCACACTCAATCTAACTTAGTGTAATTAAAACATCAATCGAATTTTTTTTATCACACTTCTAATAAAAGTGAGATAGTTGTTTTTGTCAAAGTGTGATCTTTAACTATTTTTGTAATAGTGAAACCAACTTACCTGGTGAGAATGAAATAGTCGGCGGTAGCTACTTTGGATTTCAGGCGGTGGCGACTTTGGATTTACACAAAATCATCCGTGAGGGAGGAGGAATGAGAAGGAGTTGTGTATGAGAGTGAGACGAGAAACGGAGAAGGGTTAGGGCAAAATTTTGGGAGGAATCCCAATTTGAGAGGGAATTTCAAATTAAGATAAAATTTTGTGAAAATATTTGTTGCTAATTTTTTTAGAGATGTGAAAAATAGATCAGGCTTGTTAAATTAATATTTTTTAATTTTATTTATTGTTTATACTTTTTACTTTATTGGAGTTTTATGACTCAGTTTGTGAAAAAAAAAATTACAAAATTTAGAAATATTTAGAAAGTATAAATTTAAAAGGGCAAATTACATATACCTCCCTTGAGATTTAGCTAAATTACAGATACCCCCCTGAGGTTTCGAAAATTACATCCCGCCCCCTGAGGTTTGTATTTTCATAACAATTTGCCTCCTGAGGTTTATATTTCATAACAAATTACCCCCTAATTTCTTATGTAAATATAGCATTTAGGGGGGAATTTGTAATTTCTCAAACCTCAAGGGGGTATCTGTAATTTAGCCAAACCTCAAGGGGGGTATATGTAATTTGCCCAATTTAAAAATAAGTCTTACAAATCAGATTTATTTACTCATAAGTCATGAGTGAATTTTTTTTACACACTTAGCCCTCATTTTGATAATGAAAATTTTTTAAAACTTTTTAAATATATGTTTTGTGTCTGTAAAATGATTATTTCATTAGTACTGGTAATAATATTGAAAATTTTATTAAAATGATAAATAATTGGGATATTTTGTCTTTTATTTGTGAATTTTGATTTATTCTTAATTTATTAGTGTTATTGAAATATGATGATGTAAAAAGTATAAATAGTTTAATTGTACTTTTTAAAAATAATAAATTTATTATTAAAAATTAAATTCATCAGACTGACCTGTAACTATGCCTTTAAATTTTTGCAATGTAAAACTATCGACAAACAAACAATAACAAGTTGCCCATTTTAGCATACCTTTCGCGTGAGGGCCCAATTATTAAAAGATGTGTTCAACCCATCAATTGTCAAGCCGACTACTTCTTCCATCTCAAAATAATAGCCTATTTTCAGAATTTAATTTCTTTTTATAATACAATTATTACATTTTAGAAATATCAATTGTTATAATTGTACTTTTTGTATTATTAATGGATTTTAAAAAAAAAAGGACAAAATAAGAAATTCATATTATTTTAATAATTAATTTTTAAAAAAAATTAATATTTTGAGATAATAAAAAATAAAATAAGATTAATATTTTTGGATGGTGGGTATACAACCTCTTCATAAAAATAAAAATAAAATAAAATAAAATAACTATTTTGTTTAGTCAAATTTTCAAGTGGAGACTAATGGTATTGTTATTAATAAAATAAAATAACTATTTTGTTAATTTTTTTATTTTCATTCGGCTACCAAAAAATGTAGTAGCTAAAGGTAGGTCTTTGGCGACTAAAAGGGTCGCCGAAACTGAACATTTGGCGACCAAAATTTTGGTCGGCAAAGATTAAAAATTAATTTTTTTATTTTCATTCGGCTACCAAAAAATTAGTAGCCAAAAGTAGGTCTACAGCGACTAAAAGGAATTTTGTTGTCGAAACTTAACATTTGGCGACCAAAATTTTGGTCGGCAAAGATTAAAAATTAAATTTTTTATTTTCATTCGGCTACCAAACAATTTAGTAGCCAAAAGTAGGTCTACAGTGACTAAAAGGAATTTTGTCACCGAAACTTAACATTTGGCGACCAAAATTTTGGTCGGCAAAGATTAAAAATTAAATTTTTTATTTTCATTCGACTACCAAAAAATTTAGTAGCTAAAGGTACCTCTACGGCTACTAAATTTTCTTTAAGTCGCCAATTGGATATGTTTAGCTACTAAAAATTTTTTTAGTCGCCAATTGTAATATTTTTAGCTACTAAATTTTTTTTAGTCGCCAATAATCAACATTCCCCTACTAAAAAAAATTAGTAGCTAAAAAGTTGACTTTTGCCGACTAATATTATTTTTGGTAGCCAATTCCGTGACTTTTGGCGACTAAATTGTTTTTGGTAGCCAAAAATGGTCGACAAAAATGTTAGGGAAGATATAATGTCCTTGCATTAAAAATTATATACCAACTAGTGCCGGTTAAACCGTTTGACCCGTTGACCGGTTCTTGGTCTGGTCTAGTTCGGATTTATGCTAGAACTGTTTTGTACAAAGAATCGGAGCATTTTTTGAAATTCGCTTGGATCCGAGGTTAAATCACCGAATTGGTTAACCTGGTTTTGAACCAGTCGGTTATGTTGATATCTTCCCTGTATTAAAAATTACTATGGTAGAAGTAACACCTCTGTGACCACTGAGGCACTTTAGTTGTTTGTATATCTATTTGTAATATATTATTTGTGTCAAGAACTTATAATATGTAATTATATATTACTTTTTAAAATTTAAAGAGTGTAAAAATCAAATTTCAATTCATAATATTTAGTTTAAAAAAGTTATTTCAATCATTTGTATTTATATATTATTTTTTAAATATTTATGAAATAATTAGGATATCACGTTTTGACTCGACGGTTAAACTAGTGACTCATTCATTCAACCCATTTTTCGATTCACTTATCGATCTAATTTTTAAAACATTGACATATACTCTCAGGAAAAACGTTAACCTAGGTTTAAAAAAAAAATGTGTGCAGATGATAGTTAATTAGGGCCGACTTTGGGGCAAAACCCTCAAAGCAGCCATTTTGGGCACCCAAAAAATACTCAAAAAAAGAGTGCCAAAACTTTAGTAATCCCAAAAAAAATAAAAAAAAAATCCACTTAATTTAGAAAGATTTAAATTTTTTTATAAAAAGAGACTCAATCTGAATAAAAAGGCCCAACATTTTGAGGCCCTCAATTTATATTTTAAATACATTTGAGATATAATTACAAACAAATAATAAAATCAAATAGTTTTTATCAATTGATTTTTGTCAGCAACAAGAATTAGAAGTATTCATTTAATTTTTTTTTTTTTAAACTAATTGAAGAACTATCATATTTCTTAGCTTTTTATGTATTGATTTTTTTTTTATTTGTTCATCTATGGTGGAAAGTCTCAAATTTGTAATATAAAGTTAGGTTTCAAGCTACAAACTCTACATTAGAGATGAATTCTTATTTTTGTTTGATTAAATATTTATTTGATCATTGATTATATATATATTTTGTCTATTACGATTATATATTTTTATTATTTTTTTATGTTTTCTTTACTTTATTTTTTGATTTGTAATGATTGAGGATTAAGTTAATAATTTTTGATACTATATCAAACATGTCATTATTCCTGGAAAGTGTGATTTTGGACATGAAAAAAATAAATAAAAAAAATAAATAAAGAATATAAGACTTAATTTATTTTTTATTTGGTACTCCAAATTATATTTTAGCCTTTTTTATTATTGTAAACTTTGTTATATAATTAAATAAATTTTAATAGCCATTTTGTGAGCATTATTAAATGCAAAAATTTGATACATAATCTTTTGATCAATTTTCTTTTTTTAATATATATGAAAGATTCATTTTGCATCCTGAAAAAGTCAAAGCTGACCCTGCTAGTGAACGATCTTTTCAAAAACTAAATGTAGAAAATAATTTGGGTTCAATCTTTTTAAAGTAGTGTAGTAGATATAGTGGTTTGAATTTGCCCAAATTCTCAAACTGTTAAAAAAAAACTTTAATATAGCTTCAAAAGCCGAAGCCCGGGTTTGAGCATCCAAGGCCTATCCAAAGCCCATTCACATTCCTAATCATTAACATTCATTAATTAAGACATTTTTAACAACTTTATTAACAACATTAATTAAGAAAGAGTAATATTAGAGATCCTAAAAATTTTACCAAAATTTCTACCAAATATCTCACATGGGTGTGGGATCCGCACAATGTGAATCTCATACTTCTTGATAAAGTTTTTAGGATCT